GGAGTGTCACCTGAAATACCCCAAGTGGACATGAAAATATTCCTGGAGTTATTGCCTGTTCTATAAATTAATCTGCAGTTCAGTCACTGCACTGTCACTGGGTGGACGACCTATTGCTGTAAGTGAAGCAGTCTTAGAAAACAAATATTTAAATCCAGCTGCTATTATGTTGTCCCCATCTGTTTCATAACACAGGAGGATGCTCGATCAAGACAAACCAAATCATCTGCAGACATTAAAATTGTAAATGTGTCACTCTTGGTGAAAGATGAGAAAAAAACATCAACAGCAAAACATACACATGTCATGCGAACTAAATATTATGCAAATTATCAGAATTCTGTTACTTCCTACACCAAATACCTAATCAGAAGAGTGATTGAGGAGAATCACTGTGGTCACGTCTGTCATTTTGGAACCACCCACAACCACCATCAGCTTCTCTTCTGGACCCTCCCTGGAGCTGAGTTTCTTCATAATCATATTCCCGAGCCATTTTGACATTCCTGTCACAGTGTGTTTCTATTATAAAAGTCAACGAATGGCCTCAGAACTGCTGCCATGAAATGACAATCAGGAATCAAATGTTTAATTCACAAATGTTAACCTGAATTCATAATCTCCTCGATTGACAAGTTCAGTATGGCAGGTTGAGTGTTCACGCCATAATGAATGGCTTTCGCATATCTGCAGTATGTTCCCAAGAAATTCCGCAACTGTGCAGTTGGACAGTGACAGTGGTTGCGCCCTGTCATGGCTAACTGGCAGCTATAATGGAGTGTCACCCATGCTATGGGCCTGCTAATGGGGCGGAATATGGAGTTACAGGATAAAGAGTCTGTCAGCCATCCCCCTCCCTAAATCTGCATTTTATTCGGTCAGTTGCCCCTCACCATGCCATCCTGTCCCCCTTGGCACTGATGGACAGCTTGACAAACCCATGCATAATGTATGCATATCACTGTCGTCTGTTAAGCTTTTTTCAATTAAAATCTTTCTCAGCAGTTACTCTTTGAAATTGTGTTTATTCTGGGGGATGACCTGTTTAATTAAAATGTTTCACAACATTGTCTATTGGTAATTGACTGCTATGTGTTTGAAGTGCGGGTTCAAGAAATTGAATTTTGGCAATTTAAAACATTTGATGATAGTTTCAGTAAGGAAGATTGCAGGGTGTTTGCCTTCTTTTGATGGCTCTTCATTTTCAGGGTACTTTGTGTCCCTGGAACGTTTGATACTGGGGTCGAGTATCCTCCTGAACATGTTTCAGGGGATCTTTAGGAATGAACTGTTTTTAGCAACAATCCAGATGGTCATCAGTAAAATTCTAAAACAGAAATCTTCAAAAACATTTGCGATAAGTCTGCATATCACCAAAATTGCGATTTTGTTTCTTTGAGTCTCAGTGTTCTAAGAAACGTGACATACACACTCCAAGTGCAGATCGTGGAAATAGCAATGACATCCTTTACAATGTCCCTGCTAATGGAAGGAGTAGTTTCTGTATCTCTGTCAATGAAGCTCAGAAAAATTGTTCGATGTTTTCATTTCTTTGAAGACAACTTTTTTGGTGCCCTTGGTGGCCTTTTTGCATTGATCGAGGATAGGATAAGCGGTGGCTTGACAGTAAGTGACATCGCATGCCCTAACTCTAATCACTATATGGAGTGTAAATTGGAAATTTAAGAATAGTTTTCTCAACTTTGCATCTGTCATCTTTCATTTGTAGAAAAGCCACGATAAAATCACTCTTCTCATTTTAACAGTTTGTCAAACTTTATCAAGATTTCTTCCGACAGTCATCTCTTTTACATTATGAAGATCATGTCTGAAGAGCATATGTCAAAGATATCAAAGTCTGGTATTGTAGATCATTGATATTATACGATGTTTCTTTACAATCACAACAGTTGCGTAATGATGATGCATCATCTCAGTGTCTGTCATCATGAGGACGGTGATTACAACTTGCTCACGCATGTCACCAGTCTGTATCAGAGATGCCCATAAACTGTCGGCAGTACCAAAAACGTTGATGAAATTAAGAAAAAGAGAGCCGTGAATTTACAGAAGTGACACATAAACTTTTAATGTTTTCTTTTCATTTAGTGTAATCTAGCTTTCAAATACCTTAAAAGCACTTAACAAATATTGTTTGTTTAAAAAGGTTAAACTTGTTTACCACTAGGGAGTCATTATGAATCGACAAGAGCAGCAGTAATGCATTAACACTATTTCTCATGACATGATAATGTTCCAGCAGAGGACCAAATACAATTTGGGCTGGGTTGATGGTTTTTAAACCTCATTGAAGATTTTTAAAAATTCCATACATTTCATGACCATCACAGTGAAGTTCTGTGCAGATTATTGTAACAGCATACACATATCAAATTCATTATAAGATATATGAAGAAGAAAGTAATTTTGTTTAAGTGAACTTCTATGTCCGAGTTTGTTTATTCCTTGATGTGCTAAACTGGTTTTTATTACTATGTAATAAATTTCTGGTTTCCTTGCATGTACTTTACATCTTATAAAACCCCAAAGAACCCAAAATGCATTATTATTTTATGCACATGAGACTCATAGGACACTCTGGTGCAGTGTGAGAATATTATTGTCTGTAAAAAAAATGTTCTTTTCCATGTTTGGGTCATAGGAATAATGTAATGACACATTAGTTTTAAGTATTTACAACTTTTATATTTAACAGATCACATTATTGAACAAAATAATATATCAAAGTATTTTGTATCCTGAATGCTGCTTGTATTTCCAGAACCAGCACTCCCATGTACCATCACATGCAAAAATCATCAACTTCTATTCTATCCATAGGGACTGTCACCATCGGATTTCTGATCTCGCATACCCTTGCAAAAACAATTTCTCCCTGGTCGTATTCTCTAAGGAATGACAGTATCGGTATTTTGCTCTAAACACCCTAGTGTAAAAATCATCAGGCATCTTGTATTCCTACTCCCTGTCAGCACCTAGACCCTTGTTCTAATTTATTATCTTTATCAGCGGTGCTGATCCATTCAATGTTTTCCGAAAATAGTGATTGGTTCGTTAAAAAGTCTCCCTTAAGCATACAGATAATGTTGCATAGTAGCTTCAAAAGATTGGGAATCTTGTCTTTCTTATCTTAATCACTAGAGAGAGGTTATAAGGTTCATAAGACATACTAAGCAAGTATTTAATTCAGTTCTGATATGTTATTTTCATGTTTTGAATTAGTTTACAGGACAATCTGTAGATATATGGTTATATTACACGTAGACAAGTCTGTGGAACAGCTCGGACACAGTCCCTGATTCCTGACACACTTCGGCTGGTTCCATTTCCGCCCTTCTTGAAATAACATCTCAGGACAACTTCGTTCTTTGATAAATTTCATGATGATGAGTTATCATCACTGAAAACTTTCCATGCTCTGATAATCAAGAGTTCAAAAGATCCCAAAAATAATTTCAGTCCATGTATTTTTAGGTGTCAATGTTTAAAGAAAGTTACATTTTAAGATCTGGAAAAAAGTCATTTTGAAATAACTTGAAACATATTTTAATGTTTATGGGAATATTTACATCAACTGACATGATGGTTATTTTATATACCTGCTGCAGCTAACCTTAAAAAGTTCCTAACAACTGGTTATATACAGTTGCAGATTTATCTGCACATTGAGCGAGTGCTGTGGGAGATGGTATTTGATGAACATCTACCATCTGCACTGGGTTCAGAAATACCTTGCAACATTCTCCTTACCTTTATAATGTAAACCACAAGCATCCTTTCTCCTTTATTCCAACTAAATGGCTGCTTTAGAAGCTATCTGCACAACCCATGTTTACTTTGGTGTCATAAAACTGGTTTGGTTCATTCTTCGTCTTGGTTTATTGGGAATTCTTTGTAGACAGACTGATATGGGTCTTCAGTGAATATCCTGTGATGACGTGCAAGACTTGTTCATGGGTACTTGGAAACTGTTTCACATACAAGCATTGATGGATGTGTAGATGTAATTTACATTCCTCGTGTTTTATCATTTCTGAAGAAATTGGAAGTTGGTGTACTTTGAAATACAACTATTTCACCTTCAAGAATATTGCTTTAATCTTGTGATGTTTTCTGGAGCACTCATTTGTAGGTCGATTACACTGTAGTCGGCTGTATTGTTGGTGTGTTTTTAAAACAAGCAGGTTGTAGGTTAATTTGTATTTGAGCTAGGTCAGTCTTATTATTTTTGTTCATGAACAGCTGCCAACGATAACATTCCAGGATGAAAATAAGAGCTGTTGAGGGCATAAGTAATTTTTAAGGAAAAAAATTTTAGACACTGAATTGTATTTTTGTTTTGTACATATATAAAATAAAATACTTTTTTTTGTAATTCTGCAATAATGTTGTGTTTTATCCATTTTTGATCATTAATCTATGAACATAGAAATGATACACCAAGTTGGGAAGATTGATGGCTTCCAATCTGATTGAGGGTCAGTTCATAATTACTGCTAGCCCTGACTCAAGAAAGCATTTTAGAATGGCCAAGGTTTTCATTCTCTTCCAATGAGCTATTGAATTGACTTTAGAATTTGATGTTTTTAATGGTGGTCATATCAAAATCTCTGTATATAATATATATACATTTGATTTTGTCATATCCATGTAGCATTAGAAATGTGTTTTTATTTGGTTCTAATTTTTTGAACTTATCTGTTCTACATTTTTTACATGACATTCAGAAATAATCCACACAATACAACAAACATATGCATTGTGCAATGAACAATATACAAAACCTGTGTTCTAAAACTGCACAGCTATAAATGATTGTTTGACAAAAACAAACAACATAAACCTTCCGACATTTGCATTGTGCAAGAAACAGTATGCAAAACCTATGTTCTGACAGCACAGCTATTAAATGATTGTTAGTGTATGGGGAAACAATGTTTTCTGTTTCTAATGCTATGTTCTGTATGTTCATCAAACAGATGGTATTATAGGTGAGTATGTCTTGTTGTCTTGAGATTGCAGCATCTTGCAATCCCCATCAGCTTGTATTGATATAGATGAATCCCGCTTTTGTACTTGTCATGACAGCACTAGGTGTTATACAACCCTGCTTTAGTCAGTTATTAACCAATCAGAATCTTTGTACATATTTTATCATTTTTTTAATTCCATTTCATCATTAATTGCGTTTTTGTGGACATGTTTTGAATGCTCATGATTGTTAAGCTTTAATGATTTTTGTTTTGACTTTTTGCATGGTTACGTTTTTTCATTGTACACTTTGCAATAATGTATGACGTTTTGACATATTTTAGTTTACGCTATTTCCAGTTTACAGTGCACTTCTTCCTTGTGACATATCTCAGCAACATGTTGCTTTGATCGATCGTCACCATGCAATCTACTTTGACAGTTTGCTGAAAAATCTCTTAATTAGATATTATCTATGAACACATGCACTTACAACTGTTTAAAAAAAGAGAAGGCCTGGCAATATAAACACGAGTGCTGGCAGTAAGTCATATCTGGAATGTATCGTGTCTAAATAAAGCCATCAGCACTGGAGGGAGAATGTGCATTGAGAAAAATCTTGATTAACAAAAAGACTGTGTGTTTATACTGTGTTTACATAAACATCTCTATGTGTAAAACGTACACTGATAATGTATGTCAAGTAGCGAAGAACTCTCAAGTATGAATTTATTCCTGTTGTTGAATTAATTACGACTGTATTGTGATTATTGTAGCTTGATAAGTATTGGATTTGATGTTTTGAGCATGATTTCAGGATATTTCAAGATGAGGACATTTCATACTAATTCAAATATATATCGAATTATTAATTATGAAAACACAACTTGTGTTTTTCTCAAAAAGAAACATTTTTCTCATGGTCACAGGTATTAAAGCCAGACCAATTACATTTAATGTTTTGCAGTTTTTTGAGAGGGGAGGTCAATGTACAAAGAAGAAAAGGAAAATGTTATAATAATGATAATGTCGGCTAACTGTAAATTCTTTTACATTGTTTTACTTTTGCAAAATTTGAGGTCTGTTTATTTGTATGACAGAAAAGTAAATTGATCTGGCCCTTGAAATCTAACTTTGCTCTCCCTGATTTCCATAGTGGTTGTGAAAACACAATCATTGTAGAAGGTATGGCCTGGTTGATGAATGGTTACGATATGGTGTGGTTAAGAATGGCTGATGGAGAATTAGGATAAGACAACAGAATATCTGAATTTGACCTAGGCATCTATCTAAAATATTAGCACAAGCTATCTTCACTCTATGTTAAAGCATGTGAGCAGCAGTCATAGTGCTAATCTCACTTTGTGAGAGGTGGCCCTGTTGCCAGGTCATTCAGACAGGTCTGTACAAAGAGAACTCTGTAGAGTACTCTGAGGCAAACTAACTACAGGTCATCTTATACTCATTTCAATCACTGTCAGGAGAAGAACCAAAATTACAGCCCTTGCATCAAGCTTGGAAAAAAACTACACATTACGCAAAGTACCTTGCTCTCAAATTAAGGCCTGTACATGGTAGCACACCGATGGAGTTATGTGCGTCACTGGCGCAGCAGTAGGGAAGCTGGGGACAGAATAGTAATGGCACATTTTTCATCATGAACAAGATCTAGTCAGACAATGATTAATTCCCGAATTTCTTTATTTGTTAAATCAGTTAAAATAAAACAGAAATATATCAGAAAAACAAAATGGTTTTAGTCTAAATGAAGTGATAAAGTATTGAAATAAGTATCTTATTTGCTCAAACAGCATGAAGGGTGATATGATCTCATATGCAGTGGGATGTCACACAATAACTTTTTGACCAGCTGTGTTTGTGTCAGTGGCGTAAGTAATCTTGATTCAGAACTGCTGGATGAAACAGCTGAAACCATAAGGCATAAAGGGTTTGCTTCCCTATCTTTTTATTGTAAATAGTATTAGACCGTCATCATGATGTGATTATGAACTGGAATTAAATGCATGACATCACCTTGCAATATAATTTACATGGACAAATATTAATGATGGTAACTAAAGCTAGCTTCCATCATCTTTCTTTCTCAGGGTGAATAGCTCCCTAGCTTACAGGGCAAGTTAACTCTCTTTTGTGAAAGATTCTATTTTCCTCCGTTAAATCCTACCAAGCTTCTTGTCACATTCTTCATCATAACTTCTCCGAAAGCTCCCTCTATGTCCAATCTTGTATTTTACCCAATACTTCGTAAATGACATTAGACAGCTAGGAGATAACTTTCCTCATAGATAACGCCCCTAAACTCGCCACTGTAAAGGGGATTTATTAATCGATGGTGTGTACATAGTCCATGCTGCAGCGCTGTGAAGACGCTGCACAGATAAGGTCTTCAGTTGCCGTCATTATTCCAATAGGCTAATAGAGAGGCAGAGCTAACATATAGAGCCAGGAGATATGATCAATAGATGGACAGGAGTCTCCTGGTAAACCTTTAATCGTACATGGACCAGAATGCAATAGATTGGTGGTGTCCATTAATGACTTTCAGCCACTTTTGAGAATACTGTCCTCTCATCTATAAAATGTTGTAGGGGATTTGAAGACCAGATGTGTGTTATAAAGAATTTTATTTATGCGGAAGTGATGCTGACACATATATCATTCCAAAATGTATCTAGTTAGATCAGATTTGGCAGTGTCGTTATTATTTTTGGTTAACATTCTTGCAAAAAGGGGACAAATTTTGTTTGAAGTTTTCCATGAAGTAAAGTCTCTGTTCACAGTTTGTAGATTGAAGTTAATAATATATTCATGATGTATAAAATCAGTTCTACTGCAGAGATTTTGTAGTTGTTCAAAAGAAATATCAAAGCATTTTGAAGTGTCCTGATGGCTGTTCGGTATAATTTGGCATTGGAATGGAAAGCAAAATGATAAATACATAGTCTAATGATCCCAATGTTCTCACTGGAAGCTTTGATTAAGAATATGTATCAATGTTTAGATTTTCTCTGTGCATACTGACAGTGAAACCTCTTTAAAGTGGGTGGTATTTTTTCCAGAGACATCATCAAGATGTTTCCCAGATTAGATAATCATAAAGAATAATGTTGCTTCCTATATAACTAAACGTTGCAAACAAGATTGTCCTGAAGGTGAGGTTTCATCACATAGCTAGGAAAAGTACAACCTCATTAATCCAAACTTTACATTTGCCATCAATATCACCTAGTTTAAAAGTACAGGTCATTGGTTACCATCTGTAGTTTTCAAGATGTAGGCTGAGACTATCATTGCGGGGAGTCTCTGCCAAGACGGGTATTGATTCAAGTCTCTTCATTCATTCATGCAGTTTCTTTCTTGATTACGCTGTGACGACAACAGGGTCTCATAACAAGTTTCTTGCAAGATTAGTTATTTCTTAAAATTCTTCAATAGAGATGACTATGCGTTTATATACACTAATATATAGTTCAAAAGTGAAATTAAACCTTTCATGAAAAAATATTTATGCCATGTAGACACAATCAATAACATCCCGAGTATTTCCATTCACAGCATCGATGAAGGTGTTGAGAAGTTGTTTGCATGAGTGAAGTGGTCCATTCTTGACAGGCTGATATTGTACCTGTTCAGCATTGGATGAACTGTGAACTTTAACGATCCCTTCTTCGCAATGATTTCTTGCTTGAGGGGATCATGAAAATTGATTTACATGAAATCTAGTTAAGCATCCTTTCTTGGGGACTATGGCATCCCCAATTTGAACATGTATCTGCCCTTTTTCAAAGCCCAGTAAATTGGCTCAGGTTGGTGCTTTCCCATTTATTTTTAGGGTATACACCATTTCAGAAATCACATATATCACTGGCAGAGAGAAACACTGCCTACTTTCAATGCAGGCTTTTGTCTGTTGGAGCATATGTGGCCCCGTCGTCTTGGGTGCTGCAGTTCACAGTGCTGAGTTGTGTCCCTTATATGTGCCAGGATCAAAAGGTTTTAGGTTCAAATCCTAGAATCCGCCTCATCAATATATGAGAGGTTATATAAAACATATTCTGAAAGGGAACCCTTGAGTGTTAGTATAAACTGTCAATGCAATAGGGTATAGGCAGATAGTGCTGAGAAGGTGATGAGTTTAGGAATATAGAGCTGAGAAGGAGATGAGTATAGGCAGATAGAGTTGAGAAGTGGATGAGTATAGGCAGATAGTGCTGGGAAGGGGATGAGTATAGGCAGATACAGCTGAGAAGGGGATGAGTATAGGCAGATACAGCTGTGAATGGGATGAGTATAGGCAGATACAGCTGTGAATGGGATGAGTATAGGCAGATAAAGCTGAGAAGGGGATGAGTATAGGCAGATACAGCTGAGAAGGGGATGAGTATAGGCAGATAGAGCTGTGAATGGGATGAGTATAGGCAGATAAAGCTGAGAAGGGGATGAGTATAGGCAGATAGAGCTGTGAATGGGATGAGTATAGGCAGATAAAGCTGAGAAGGGGATGAGTATAGGCAGATAAAGCTGAGAAGGGGATGAGTATAGGCAGATAAAGCTGAGAAGGGGATGAGTATAGGCAGATACAGCTGAGAAGGGGATGAGTATAGGCAGATACAGCTGTGAATGGGATGAGTATAGGCAGATACAGCTGTGAATGGGATGAGTATAGGCAGATAAAGCTGAGAAGGGGATGAGTATAGGCAGATACAGCTGAGAAGGGGATGAGTATAGGCAGATAGAGCTGTGAATGGGATGAGTATAGGCAGATAAAGCTGAGAAGGGGATGAGTATAGGCAGATAGAGCTGTGAATGGGATGAGTATAGGCAGATAAAGCTGAGAAGGGGATGAGTATAGGCAGATAAAGCTGAGAAGGGGATGAGTATAGGCAGATAAAGCTGAGAAGGGGATGAGTATAGGCAGATAAAGCTGAGAAGGGGATGAGTATAGGCAGATAAAGCTGAGAAGGGGATGAGGGATTGAATGGAGTGGGGGTGATTGTTT